TGTATCTCTGTGATTGGGTGTATGTATATATACATATGGATATATATATATCAATGCTGATGATGATATTTTTGGGGCACTTTCTTTTCTGAAGTGCTGTCTTCCTGTTTAGTTCTTATAAAGGGGAATAATACATTTGATGGTAAGATCAATGTAACATGGTAAACAAAAATTGCACGGTTGTGTGGTTAATTTGGCTGACGAGGTCATAACATTTATGACGTAAGAAGCCAGCTGTTAGATTGATGTACATGAGTGAGATGATTTTTTTTTCCTAAAGAAGAATTTGAGCGTTAGAAAGTGGAAGAGTACTTTTGGATCAACGTGTTTCTGGTCTTGCTTCATTTCAAGCGAGAGGAAACAAATGAATCTTTAATGAGTGATGCAGATGTTCCATCTTGTCTGATTTTGTCTTCTTTTTTTTTTGTAAAACCTTTATTTTTGAACATTTGTAACACTGTGATGATGACGTGATGTCACGTGGAGATGAGTGCTGTATTATTTTTGTACGTTTGTGTACAAGCCAGTAAAGAAATCATTAAACTAAAAAAAAAACATCATTTTAAAAAGTGCTGTGTTTTTAATGTTTCTTCCTCACGTTTTGTTTGATTTCGGACGCCTCAGCCTCCTTTATGCCAACTTTTTCATAGAAAGAGTTGGAGAAACACGCCCCCACCTCCACCACCTCCCTGCCGTCCAAGTCGGGCACAGCCCAGATCCTGATTCTCTCTCCTTTTGTCATTCATCTGGCCTCATCCTTTCAGTGCCAGGATAAAGGAGCCCGGTGCATTGTGGGTAGGCTCGGTTTAAATTAGGGTCCCCTCCCCTCTGTGTGTGTTGTTGGAGACATGGTTTTATGTTACCTCGCCACATCACTCACAGAAACTTTCCAAAACACCCTTCCTCTTCATCGAGATCTCAGCTGAACGCGTTTGTTTTACCGAAAACACAACAAAACTAACGCAGAACCGTCTGATGTTCTTTGTAGGTTTTATTTGCAGCTGGRTTCTCTAAAAGTCTGGATAAAATCTTTGCAGCTACCATTTATTAAAGGAATCTGTTGAATTTCATCCATGAGAAATAAAGTTATATCCATTTTGTTCAAACTGATACCATTTTGTGCTGTCTGTAAATGCTCAGAGTGTTGTGAATGACTTTCAGCTACTACCACACCAAATTTCAGCTCACTGTGTAAAATTCACCCAATTGTAGCTGGTTGTGTGATAGCTAAAACTTATTAGCTGTGGCAGCCATCTTGAAATGTGTGCATTCAAAAAGTCAATCAGTTGTACGTCCAGTAATCACTAATGAATAGTGTCACGGACTTTYTCCAGGTGGTTTATGAGATATTTTGCTAACATACAAATTTAGGGTTGATTTTAAAAGATTTTGTACAATTTATTTCTGCTTACAGGATATTTTTGGAAAGATGCTCAGCTACTTGGATGCCAAATTTCATCCCAATTTTTTGAAAATTGGCTGAGTTGTAGCCATTTTTGTGTTTTTATGATCAGCTGGCTGTGGCGGCCATCTTGAATTAGATTGAATTCATAAGTGAATCAGTTGTAGATGTCAGTCCAATGAGAACTGTGTGAATGCTTACAGCTTTTCAAGCATTCACTTTATTCAGACCTTTTTTTTCTGCACGTTTTTTTTTTTTGGCACGTATCGTTTGTCACAGTTTTTGTGTTATTTCAACAGTTTATGTATCCAAACGTTCAGCTCCTTCAGGACATTCTGGCTATAACTTTGGTAATTCAGCAATTTTTTTGAAGATATTCAGCTTTTTCAGCCACTTTTTTTTAAATGAATATGTTTTCAACAGCCTTAAAACCCTTCAAAATGTTCWTAAATCCTCACTGTACTTTTTATATTTTGTTGTGGTTCTTCTATTTAACTTGTTTGGACTAATTTCAGCTTCGTTTAGCTTCTATTTTGCTGACTTTAGCTTTTTTCTGCAGTTTTTAGCTGTCATTCTTACCTTTTCTTCTATTCTTCTGCTAATTTCATCTTCTTCTGCGACTTTAAACTTCTTTTTTTCTCTCCATTCACGTTCTTTCTGTCCTCTTCAGCTTTTTTCTGCCTCTTTCAGCTATTCCTCTTTATCTGCACATTTCTACACTGTTTTCACAGTTTGGGTTCTTCAGCAAATTTCAGCAATCATTCAGCTAATTTTGAGTTCCACCAGCAAGCATTAAYAGTCCAGCATTTAAAAATATTTTAGCTTCTTAAGTGGCTTTCAGCTAAATTGCTCGGCAATAAGCATTTTTCCATGCAATTTCTCAGGTTGTCCCAAGTTTCATTAAAATCTGTCCAGTTGTTTATGAGATATTTTGCTAACAAACAGTGTATGTATCGARTCTGATCAGTTAGCGCTCAGAGTTTAGGCTGAGGATCACTCTCAACTACTACCACACCACTGTTTTTAATGGATGTGCATCTTCTGAGCAATTTAAATCCAATTTCTGTCAATTCTTTTCTCAAGTATCATTATCTAAATCTTTTAAACATTAGATGTGCAGATATTGCTGCAAACAGTAAAGCGGTTGTGGGAAAATCAAAAGAGCGGCTCGTTCACACGTTGGGACTGTTCACGTTGTGACATTTTCTGRGTGTCGACTGAGTAAAAAGAAAAACAGTGTTGCAAGTGTGATAGAAATAATGTTTGTGGGTTTTTTTGGGAGTTTTCTTTTCGGTTTGAATTCAAAGTGATGAAAGGATCTCACTTCTGGTTTCACCGACGTGAGACAAAAAAGTGGGGGATGTGTGTGTGCGGTGTTGGTTTGGAAGCAGCTGTTCGGCTCTGAGCTGCAGCTGAACCACACGTGACCTCAGCTCCCGAGTTTTCTGCTGCACCGATCTGATGCATCTCTTTTGTCAGCTCCAAAACAGCAGGAAAG